TCCGGCACTCATGAACCTCAATGGCTGTGACCTCAGACTGGAGCAGATACCCTCATGGTCTTTCAAGGTACTCAAATCAACTCATAAAGAATTGAAGATATCAACAGTCTCATAAAGGTTCCGCAACATATCATAGGCTACCGTCGATACGAAGGTTTCTTGACCAAGCATGGCCTGGGCGTGCTTGAGCTATGTTTCCACGTAAACCACCAAACATCAGCGCGGTGTATCATACGTCTAGAACCCAGATAATCGATGCTAGTACATTGATTCTAACAATGTAGTTGTGGTGCTACAGTTACAAAAGTGGTGAAAGAAATATGTATCCTACTCATAATATAATTGTGTGCTGTTGCGGGAATGAAGCATCATCTCCATCACGAAGATGACACGGAACTATCAAATTTTATCAACGTAGATCGCTTCAAAATCAACGTAAATTCGAAATGATGTTCCTGTCATATAGGCCCTTCTTTCGCACTTGTGAGATACAAGTCACGGAAATTGTGTATCAGGGATTTCTTGTAGATTGCAGAGTACTTTATGAATGAATCCGATCATCAATTGATACTTAATCTTGAGTGGAAGCAACAACTAAAATAACATCGCCGTCTACTGCCTTTGAGTACTCAGATTCTAACTGCACTCGCGGAGTATCCAACCAGCGTTCTGCCAATGGCTTGCCAGCACTGTACCAGCCCTTGTTTGCCGAGGTAGACAACGCAAAGATGGACTCGATCAGAACCATCTCAAATCCGGCTTCCAGGTCACCGACTGTGGCATGAGAAACGACCGGTATTAAGGTCCTAGGGCAGGCTAAGTTTGTGTTCGAATCGGGCTTCAGTGGGAAGCTTTCTGATATTGTCTGCCGACTGCTCGGTGATTTTGAAACCACGCCGCTGGCGCCTGCCGAAGATAAGATCAAAGTAGCGAGCTCTTTCTGTAAAATCCCTTCGGCAGACCCCAAGCTGGAGTCTTTCGGAACTTCGGAGATGACAGGCAGAGGCAACCCGTCAGTCTGGCCACCCTTTTTGCGGCCAGAGATAGCAAAGCCGCCCTCGATTGTGTGTAAAGTCTTGAGCTTTTCGTGCACCTTGACTTTGTGAACCCGAACGTGCCAGTCCGGCCATCGGTTAGACGGTGGGATCAGCGTGGTGTCTACACTCACGGCTCGGTCGCCCCATGGATACCACTTGGCGCTTGCAGCCTGTACCTCCTGAGTACCCGAAGTTGTCCTGACAAACGCAGTTGAGAAGCGCACTGGCTCAGATTTCCACTTTACCGCCCACGTCTCGCCGCCATCGCGACTCAAGGCAAGGGCGTTGTCGGGAGTAATCTGCTGGATTAACGGCCCCGTCGGTACGGAGAATGTGAAGGCCGAGGAGTACGCGAACTTGCAGTACTTGGCCTGGTTAGCCTTCATAGGCCAAGCTACGAATTGACCTGGCGAAAGGAGAAAGTGATGGTTGCTTCCAGGGTGATTGCACACAATCTGCTGAGGCGCTGGGACGAGCGCAACTGAGTCTGCTGAAGAAAGCGAGGGATATGGCTCTTCTTCTGCAGTCCAGAAGTCGTCGTTCTCCGCAATACCGACTGCAATGAGGGTCTTCAAACACCAGTACGGAGATTGAGGGGAGTTGTAGTCTTCGCACAGGTACATGTTCCTATACTGAGAGTGAGCAAGGATCCTTTTGACGTTGCTGTGGATGGGCCGGGGTGTAGGTGCGCTTACGGATATAACCAACCAATGTTCATGGTACCATCGGGATAGAAGACACCATCTGAGTTGTTTGCCCACCATCTGAGATGTCTCAGCAGGAAGCCTTTGATAGCCCCGGGTGTGTGAAGAGGTTCTGGCATATTGGGTACTTGTGCCAGAGCTAGAGCAGCGAAATATCCTCCACAGGCGAAACGATAAGTCAAAGACCGGCCGAAAGGTATGGCGGAGCCTGGAAAATCTTAGAATATGGCATGGAAGGATCTAAAACTTCACAAACTGCTTACCTTCAGAGTCAAAGTATCGCCAGAAAGTGGCACCGAAGTCTCTTGCTCTCTGGCGGTACTTCTCGGCTCGTTTGGGGTCGATATCTGCAGCAAATCGAGAATAGAGTAGCTGACTGAACTGAATCGCAAAGCTACCAGAGTAGTAGTCGGCTTGTCTTCCGATTCCTATCTCGTCGCGTCTACCAGTCTTCTCAAACTGCTCGAACTCGTCTTGGGCCTGCTCAGGTGTCTGCCAGGGACCGTCTGCCGACCAACCGTCAAATCGGTAGAAAGTGTCCAGCAGCGCCAGGTCTGAGTTTACCTCGTCGCGAACACCTTCATATGGCACTCCACAGACTTTGAACAGAGCTAGGTTCCCAAATACTCTGAACCAACGCCAATTATTCTTCGGCATGTCCATTCCATTCAGAGACCGGAGCCAATTGGTAATGTTTTCCTTCGACTTGTCACTCAACGGCTTGAAGATGCGATCCGGCGCGGACAGGAGGGCAAATGCTACAATTTCAGCCTCGACCATACGCTGATCGGGGCCAAGAATTGGTCCCCAATACTCCGGATGCTCGGGATCGGTTCCTGTGACGAAGCCGTCGATCCATGGCTGGACTACTTCGGTGATTGCAGCGGACGATGATGGATCTGAAGTGGCATCAGCTCCAAGGAGCAAGGCGCCTACAGCCCATAGGGGCCGAGCAAAACCTTCAAGTTGAGCAGCTGTTTCATCAAAATGCGTTGCCGAATTCACCGGAATTCGGATCCGGCCCTTAGACGGGGAGAAGTGGGGCAAGAGGGGCCGGAGCAGCGCGAGGGTTGCTTGGACCAAGTCCGCCCTGGTTCGGAGGGGGTTGTTGGAGAATCCTGACAGGGGTGGCATTGTGAGAGATGTTCGCGAACACACAAGATGGCTTGTGCGGAATGGAAGTGCTCGGATTATGTCTCGACACCCATCAACTGGTCTTATTTTGTCTTGCGATTATTTCGAAGACTATTGGTTCCACTGCGGCTGCCCCAGATGCGTCGGATGCCGGGGTATTTGTCGGACAGCCTGCCGACATGCGTTTGATGCGTCAGCCAGAGAAGGCTGTGTCAAGATGTCGTAACCACGACACTCCAATTCTTTGAATAGTGTCTTACGTACATTTGATTACCAATGAGCCAGTCGACGTAGCCTCTGATGGCTTTTATTTTGCCTTTACTGCGAGCTACTGGAATGCTTTGCATATTTTCCTTCATCTTTAGAGAACCAAAGTTAAACCCGCGGTTGGTATTGGTGAGCCTTTGTCCAAGACCGACAAGGGAAGTCAAGTGCACTCTTTCTTTATCCCAATGTTTTTTTTCTTTTCTTGGAAAAGTGTGCTGTTGATGCGGTCGCTTGAAAGTGGTGAGTGCTTTGAGACATGGAACTTCTATCCTCGTCGCTCGTTGGAACGCAGTCAACCACCGAGGCGATGAGTTCAGGCAGATACAGAACACGCTGCCTTCAGCATAATGATGATATTGGATTCTGGCTTGATAGTCTGTCGCTCTGGGGACTATACTAAATGACCACAATCACATTGGTCAGATTGATAGCTCCCTCTCATGACGGAAGCCACCGGCACATGTACATCTCTTGCAGCTCTTCGGAGGTTGGTTCATGTAACATCCTGCAGGTACCCGAAACCCTGGCACTCGAGGGGCATAAGGTACTTTGCCAGGTTTATTCAATCATTGGCCCTGAAATTGCATTTACTATCCCACATGCATATGCAAACTGTTGAGGGTGAGAACATTCAACATGGGTTCGGGTACATGAGAAGAAGAGCTGGACACAGGCGTTCAAGGTTGCTCAGGAGAGAAAGATCATCCGCACGATGAGTTCACTGGTCTGTCGCTCGACAGGTTGTTCAAATTGAGCCTTATGTATGGATGAGAAGCTCGTAGTCGGGCAGACACAAGCGCGACGAATCGAGTTCGTCAACTGGTGACAAGCAATCATCATAGTCACTTCATCGTCGGTACGGAATTAGCGTGGTTCGTGGACCAAGATGAGTAGCATACTGTAGGTGATATTTGAGCATTGGCTGATATGAAAGATTGAGTATCTGAAAGGCACAGAATCAGGACGACGTAAGATTACTTGTACCTAATTGAAGTCATACGCCATCTCCCAGACCACATTAGTAAACAAGTCAGCCAGCAAAGTTTGACCTATTGTGGCGTGAGCCGAAGAAATGCGGAACACAACTAAGCCCCGACGAATTTCGAATGCCTCTCAACTCTCGCTTTTCTTCATCAACCAAACCTCGCTTTACTTAGCTGTAACGAGATCGAAGTCAAGCCGAAATCATCCTTGCCCAATGTTCTTCATGTACTGACTTAACTGCTTATGTATTAGACCAGTGACCGCCGACTAGCCTTCGTATGGTGCCGGGCATCGGCTAAAAGGAGCCCGCAAGCGCTAATGACACGCTCTCCAGTTTCTCCGCACCAACCTCGTTCCACCAAACCGCCTACTCCGTGTTCCTCACTTGCTCACCCCTGTCTCGATATCCCCAGAGTGCGGGGGAAACTTTCCGCCTCCTCTCTGCTCGTCCGCTAATGGGAAGGTAGATTATTATGGTCAGGGGAGGATTGAATTCAAGAATCAGAAGAGCTTAGTGTAGAGAATCGATGCCGTTGCCCCAAATCCCTCGGTCAAATCGAACCGAGAGCACCCCGGACGGTTCCCCTCTCCACAGCCACCCCCAACTTTCCCACCTCATAAACACAGGAATCCTCTTTTGATCCCCTCTTGCATCGTCGCGTCGCACGATTCCATGGCCGACGATTGCCACGTAACCGACATTGTGAGGAGCCACACACAGAAACGCCCGCGCCGCTCGCACAAACGCCCTTGTCTGCGGTGTTCATCGTATCTTTGACTCTCGGTCCCCCGCCGATCGGACCGGGCTCTCTCCGGGACGCCGCCACCACCGCTGCCGTGAGCCCGCTGCTGAGCGCCGATCTCTCGAACCGGTATGGATCTGACCACACCGGCGCCGGCTTCGGGGTCGCAGCCCCCTGATGGCTCTGACGGCGATATCCCGTCGTGTCAGGGCTGTCGGCGCCGCAAGCTGCGGTGTTCTCGCGACCAGCCCATATGTTCCCACTGCAAGCGGTTGGGTAAGTTTGCTGGGTGCCACACTCACGTCGAGAATGGATGCAGATAGGCATACTGATTTGATAGACTCGCCATGCGTGTACGATTTGAAGAAGAACAAGCCGGGTATCAAGCCCGGAGCGGTTGAGAGTCTGAATCGCCGAGTGGGTAAGTCTCACCCAAATCGGGAACCCTGCTATTTGAGTCAGGCAATAACTGTCATGAAGAGGTTTTGGAGAATGCTCTATTGCAAAAGTCTAGCGAAGGATCCTATCCGACCTCAAATGGCAACGGCAACACAGAGTCGCACAGCGCGCCGGCCGAGTCCCAGAACGTGGTCGGAATTCTGTCCTTACTGGCGCGTGAGCTACACAAGCTGAACTCGAAGACCAAAGCTGGCTCTCAAGCTGGTACACCTGAAGGGGCAGCTGAGCATGCAGTGTTCTCCCCAACAACGTCCAGCTCTTCTAGGCGGAACACCATCGACGGAGTCGAGATTGTCTCACATCCTCACAATCAACCAAGAAAGCGTCGGAGGGTCGATAGCTGCGGCAATCCCAACATCGATCTGGCCTTTCCCTTGGAAGACTTGGAGAACATCACAACAAGCCTGCCGCCGCCTGAATTATTGGAAGACATCATCAATATCCACTTCAACATCATTCAGCCCTGGATTCCAATCCTTCACGAGACACAATTTCGTAGGCGGGTGCACGACCCGGAACAGCTGCCCCGCTTGGTGGTTGTCCTCCATGCCATGGTAGTTGCAGCTCTTCGATTCGTCGACAACTCGGAGATCAGACTCTCGGCTCTCGAAGTTGAGCGCCGGACATCACGGTCAAGGAACATTGTCATACTTAATGCCTTGGATCACCTTTCGGTCGAGAACCTGCAAGCGCTAGTCATCCTAGCCTTCAATGATGTAAGTACAACTAAAAACTCCCGCATCGAGGTGTTGCCGATCTGCATTGCTAACATTGTCAAGATCGGAAATGGAGATGCGTCAAAAGCATGGTCAATTGTCGGCTCTCTCACAAGGACTGTCGAATACCTTCAAATGAGTATCGAAGCCGATCACCAAGACAAAGAACCTCTTCTGAAGCCGTTACCATCAATACCGCCGCCCCAGAATTGGACCGAAGAAGAAGAACGGCGGCGAGTGTTTTGGAATATCTTCAACCTTGATAGGTGAGCCCTTCGACGAGAACTTGCGTTGCTGCAATACTAATTGTGGCCTTTTAGGTTCTGCTCCGTGACAACTGGGTAAGGCCTTACATAATTGCATGTAAAGGCAGGATAGCTAGACTGACTTTGACAGATGGAACACAAGTCTGACATCCGACGACGTTTACCGTAGGCTTCCGGCCGACGGTGGCCTTTGGCATAAGGAAGAGTCGGTTATCACTCCCTTCTTTGGTATTTGGGATCGATCAGCCGCCAAGATGGGCAACTCCATCGCCTTCCTACCGGCACATTACCCCAGTCCGGAGCAGACGGCGGATGCGCCACCACAAACTCCTATCACTGCCCATCCTCGTAAAGGTCCCAACACGGTCGACATGACAACAGTCGGGGCGTTTGCGTACTGTATAGAAGCGACCGAGTCTCTTAGCAGAGTCACGACATACTTTCTTCAACAGAAGATCAACTTCCTGGATAGACAGGAAGTCAGCAGCTGGCTTACTCGATTCAAGGAGTTGGATTTGCGTCTAGTGCAGTACGTTCAAAGCCGCGCCTTCCGGGACTCTCCATGCTGACAAGACTTTAGCTGGAAGATGTTCCTGCCTCAGAAATGGAAGGACTCCAACATCTCTCGCCAACCCGCTCTCATCAACATGGATCCCAACCTCACGCTCGCACATATCACTCACAACACCTCAATGATTCTTCTCCACCAACGCATAGCTTATCCAGAGCCTCGTTGGTCTAACATAGTGAAGCTCCCTAGTTTCTGTAGCGCCGAAACGTGCCAGGAAGCCGCAGTCGAGACGACAACCATCACGGAGAAGTACTTGAAGTACACTCCCGAAAACAGCCCGGCTACCAGCCAATTCGCCTTTTGCGTCTTCATCAGCGCCAGAGTACTCCTCGGTAAGTGAATGTGGACCTGCATCAAACATGACCACCTCCTAACATTCCCCAGTCCATTGGCGGTACTACGACGCAGAGCTTGCTCCCGAATTCTGGACCCTGGTTGAAAGCATGGAAGAGATGGCCAAGCGCTGGGTCGGACCTATCCTCAAAGAAAAGCACGCCCAATGTCTCGCTGGTAAATACGCTGCACAGCTCCGCGACCTCCATCGCAAGTGCCAAGCGGATCCCCAGTTCACCGTCGATGTCTTGGGATACTCTAGCGGTGTTACCGGTCAGGGGTGCAGTCCTGCTGCTCAAACGCCAGCTTTCAGCCACCAGCAGGGTAACGCCTTGTTTGCGCAGAGCTCCAATAGGATGGCGCCGCCCGTCTCAAGTCCTTTGGCACCGAACCAGACGACAGGACTATCGCAACCTCGACCGCCGCCCATTTTCTCAAATCAGCAGCCGCAGGGCCAGATGAGGCAGGGCTCGATGATGGGTCCCATGGGATCCCCCATGCCGATGACTGGGTTCACCCCGAGAGATTCGGATGCGCCTGACGAGCTTTCTGCTATCTCTCACATGTTGATGGATCAGAGATTCATGGAAATGGACAGGATCATCAGTTTTGACGACATGATGTTCACAGCGCAAACCGCGAACAATGGTAATGCAACTATGCCAGTCAACGGCTGGGGACCTGTTGATAACACACAGCTGGAATGAAAAGAAGGGCTGAAGGAGGTCTTATGCGAGAAACGGTTTCATATTCTATTCGTGATACCCTCATTTACCTTAGCCCGTACATACACAAAGCACTATGAATTACACCAGTCCCATCTTCAGGAGTCTGTTGCCGAACTCAATCAAGTAGTAGTCGCCATAAACCAAGCCATGGTCCCAGTATCTCTTGTGATCCCGCGTGTTGTGGTTTGCCGTAGCGTTCTTCAAGATGGCATCAAAGGTCTTGCCCTCTTCGACATCTGCGGTCGAGATCTCGCCACTACTGAAGACGAACTTGGCCTTCTCCGTAGCCAGCGAGAAGTCAAGGGTATCCTTCACGATGGTAATGGCCATATCGCGGTACCTCGCGCTCTCCTCCGCCAGACCCCGTCCAGCCAAAGCCTGGGACAGAACCAGCATGCCGTTGGCGGCAATGATACCTGCGGATGAGTCTCTCAGAGGGAACCCCTCGTTCTCAATCGGCGCGTCAAAGTCCCAGAGTGGGACGTATCGGCCCTTGGTTCTGTTCTCGCCCTCTACGGGGAACTCGACGGACTTTGGTGACGTCTCCAGCCGCATGTAGAAGTATTCTGCGAGGCCACGGGACACCTCCAAGAACTCCTCATCGCCGGTCCACAGGAACGTCTGAGCGTAGCCAAGAATACCCCAGGCTTGGCCTCTCGCCCACGTTGACTCGGCGGCGTATCCCTGACCTGTTCTTCGCTCCTTGATCTCACCGTCCTTGGGGTTAAAGTTGACGACGTGAACATTGCTGTACATCTTCTCTTTGATGATACCTCTCGAGTCCTTCTCAACACGGAGATTCGACTTGATCAACGTCTTGGCGTGTCGTGTTGCGGCGTCCCATAATTCTTGCTCGCCGGTATGCGATGCAGCGTAGTAAAGCAGGTCCAGGTTACACATGGAGTCGATAATGACGAGGAAGTCGTCCGTCAAACTCGTAATGGTAACTCCGTGCTGGGTCAGCGCGTCCCACGACCGGATCGCTCCGACAGTGGAGTTGTACCGCGTATAGAGAGCCTTCGCCGCGGTCACGATGGAGTCCAAAGCTTGCTTGTCTTGGGCAACCTCCCACCTCACTCTCATTGACGGCTGGATCATGAATGACATGTCGTGGGTATCCGTACGCTTGGCTGTGGTGTGGAGGGGTTCTGACCATGAGGCGCCGAGCGACCATAGCTTTGACAGCAAAGCCGCCTTGTCTTGCCCACCGGGCATGGTGTGAGGGAACTTGACTAGTCTCTCAATGAGGGAGTAGATGTTGCCTGGGAAGAAACCACACGTCCAGAAGTCGGCCTCTCGCAAGATGTACTTGCCGGCTTCCGGGCCCGTCTGGAGAACGTACTCTGGGTATGCCAAAGGAGGATCCTGTGCGTCTTGAGAAACTGACATCTCAGGGTGAGAGCATCTCCACTTACATTGTTAACAAGCGCATCTGCGGCTGTTCTGAAGATTTTGGCAGTGACGTTCTCCTCGAACAAGCCGCCGACTTGTTCTCTAATGGGCTTTGCTTGCGCCATTTTCCGTCTCAAGGTAGTGACAGACCGGCCTCCTGATTCTGAGATGCTAGTGTCGCTATCAGCATTGAGCTCGGTGGTGCTGTCAGACTCGGCATAGATCACGTCCTTCGGGGATGAGACATCATCCACCGGGATGGAGGTATGTCCACTGAGATGCGCCATGTTGACAGAGATGATTCGAAATATTCTGCTATAATAGAGACCAAGGCATTGGAACATTCACTTACGAACTAGATGATCCTGGGATACTCGGGGTTAGAGTCTTATAAGGGCGTAAGTTCGAGTTGGAACAGCATGAAAGTAAGCGGAAACCTTGTGTTGGCGCCGAATGAAGGAAGCACGGTATCTTCGGCCTGTCGCTCGGGACAAGACGTTGTATTCTTCGCAGCGGACTTGCGGCAAGATCCAAGATTGAGGCGTTCGGTCGAAGCGTCGGGGAACCAAAGTCTGGTTGGAGCGGTAATCGGGTGGTGCTGCAGTCTCTAAGCGGAGGATTTGTCGTCCGGACGATCGCCCGATGCCCGAAGTCGAGATCTTGACAGCTGTGATTCTTCCGACTTGGCTCGCTGGAAGTCTAATTTATTGCGAAAACATTGTCCTCACGTTCTTGAGCCTATACATGCCGCCGTTCTCCAGGCTGTTACAAGTTTGGCGTCGTAGGTCAATGATCCTCATCTCCTATGAAACTGTACGACCAGACACAGCCGCCGGCCACTGGTCGGCGGGGAACCTCCCCACTCTGCTGCACGACCATCTGTACGACCATCTATCTGCACGACTCTGGGGAATCGAAGTTCTCGTTGCCATCTGGAGCGTGAGATCTTGAACGTCGATATGTCTGCATTTCCATCCGGGTGACTGTCTCTCTTGCAGCCCGTCTCGGTTGCAAATGCTGCTCACAAGCAGGTTTCGCTCAGTGTCGGACTGTCGGTCTTGTCCCCGCGAACACCCCTTGCCTCCAAGCCGCATACGCCGGCACCTCCATTGGCATGGCTCATTAGCATGGCCAATTAACACGAGAACCAAGCTGTTGGTGCAACTTCTTATGGAGTGCATATATGGATGGCATCCGCGTCCAGTTGGGAGTCCAACGCCGCAGCAAGGGGTTGACTCAAGTAGGTGCAGAACTCCAAGAGCTAAAGAGATAGCAACATCGAGGCGCGACGGCAGCTCCGGGTGCCTGCCAGCAAACCCGGAAACCACGCATTGAATCAGTTCAGGCCAGTTGCGCGGCTAGATAACAGCACATGGGACATATCATGGTCCTGGATATTCACCTTATCCACCCGAAAGTCCGAACAGCCGGCAACGGCAATGTTACCCGACAACGTGGTTCATCTGATATGGTCCATTCGTGCTGAACCCCTGTGACGTGAGCAGCATTGCGGCTTGGCGGCTCAGTGAAAGTCTGGAGATCTCCACGCCCTCCACGCCATGCTGTAGGGCTGAGTAGTTCTTTCAGCTTGACGCGACGCCCGGAAAAGATACCAACGTCGTGATGTCTTCGCACGCACCGCGTTGTTATCAGGCTTGTCCGGAAAACCCCCACCGGTTGATGAAAAGTTTATCAGGTAGCTCATTTCAATAATCCCGCTCATCGTCACGAATGTTACCCCAACCAGCTAGAGAGATTAGTTGACCCCACAAAGTGGATGTTGCACGACGTCGCGGACGCCGCCGCCAACACCCGCGTAAACCTCTCTCACCTTGGCAAAGCCCAGTATCTGCCAGACTGAGGTTCTCAGCACCAGTAAGCGAGTAGGAAGAACCATGGTTAGCTAAAATGAGGTAAAGCGAGAAGTTGGCAGAGCGAAGCCTCTCCCCAATCGCCGCCAACTTGTTTATAACGCGGCAGCGGCCCGGCCGCCGTGGGAAATGACTGGCTTCCTCCGTTCCCCCAGCTCTCGGCCCGTTCTTCATTGCCGGCAATCATACCCTCGCTTTGGTCTTTTCTGGCTAGCTGCAGCTCTATTCAGTTACTAGCTCCATCACCAGTATCGTCAACATGAAGACCTCTATCAACCCTATCGTTGCCTCGCTCGGGCTGGCCATCGCCCGTGGCGTCGCGAATGCCGCTCCGTCGGTTTACGCCTCCAACCACACTGCCGGCCCCGAGTTAAAGCACTGGCCGGCCGAGGCGGCCAAGGCTCTCAACACGATGATCGCGGCCAACGCCAACCAAAGCCAATACGCCGTCTTTGATATGGACAACACCAGCTACCGCTTCGATCTCGAAGAGTCACTACTTCCGTATCTCGAGAGCATCGGTGTCCTCACCCGTGACACCATGGACCCCACCCTGAAGCTCATTCCGTTCAAGGACACGGCAAACCACACCGAGACGTTGTACAGCTACTACCTCCGTCTGTGCGACATTGACGACATTATTTGCTACCCGTGGGCTGCTCAGATCTGGAGCGGTATTCCCTTGAGGGAGCTCAAGGAGCACGTGGACGATCTCATGGCTCTGAACCGTACCATTCCTACCACTTACTACGAGGACGACGTTATCACCCCCACCGAGGTCAGCCCTCCCAAGATCTTTACCGGCCAGGTTGAGCTCTACAACAAGTTGATGGCCAACGGCATCGACGTCTACGTTATCACCGCCGCTGCTGAAGAGCTGGTCCGTATGGTCGCTGCCGACCCCAAGTACGGCTACAACGTCAAGCCCGAGAACGTCATCGGTGTCACCATGCTCATGAAAAACCTGACCTCCGGCGACCTCACCACCAGCCGTAAGCAGATCGAGGACGGCACCTACAACGAGGAGGCCAACCTGGACCTTGTGATCACTCCCTACCTCTATACTCCTGCTACCTGGATGCAAGGCAAGTGGGCGGCTATCCTCACTTACATCAACGAGTGGCAGGGACCTATCCTGGCTGGCGGCGACACCCCCGCCAGCGACGGCCCCATGATCTTCCATGGCGTCAATGTTGCTAGGGGCGGTATTCACCTCTGGATCAACCGCAAGGACAGCGCCATGGCGACCATGAACGAGATGATTGTGAACAACACTGCTGCCCAGAAGGCGAACAACCTTCCTGTCACCGCGGACAAGAACTGGGTTATTGTTACTCCTACTGAGATCCAGTAAATCTAGGAACAAGAGATAGATGCAGCCACGAAGGCATAACAGAACTAGATGACCAATGTAATGTTTCATCATGCCAAAACCCATTAGCGTTCGTCTTTGGTACCTCTCAAGATCGAACGTATATCGAATCCGACCACCAGAACTACCAGCACAGAGTGACGACTTGCAGTCCGGGGAGCCGCAAAAGACTACTACAACCCGTAAGCTTCAGTAAGCACTAACTCCTACTTCAAACCCACTTTAGAGACGGGGTTGTTACTCCCTACAGCTCGAAGATCAACTCAAAACTGCCCAGACGAGTCAAAACTGAGACGGGCTGACGAGCAAAACAGGTAGCGTTGCCGCTGAGGATAAAAACATGGACGATCTGGGAATCGAACCCAGGACCTACCGCATGCTAAGCGGTCATTATACCACTAAACCAATCGCCCATCCTATGATCTAGCCCGGACTTGAACCGGAGACCTTCAGTGTGCCACGTGAAGCGCAAAGGGCGTTCACGATGTTAGACTGACGTGATAACCAACTACACCACCAGACCATGTGTTTGTTGCAGGGATCGTTCAAATTAGGGCTCAAGTTCCCTGCGGGTCTGCGTTGTTATGGGCAAGGTCCAGTCTCTGTGGGGTGGGAAGACTCTTATCCACTCAGATTCAACCAAAACCAGCCAAGCATCGTCTGCTCCTCGCATAAGGGAGACAGGTTGTCTCTGACCGAGAATATAGGATGAAGTTGATTCAAGAGAGATAAGTGTTAAATAAGTTTGAGAACTGCTCGGAGCTAGAAAGCCGTTGGTGATTTCGAGAAGGCCGTCCCTGTTGGCGCCCAGCTTTGCCAAGTCCAGCTGCCAAGGGTAACTTGAAAGTGCTCTGAACCTCTCATGGCGCGTCAGTTCAGCCAGTGCCTCGCCGTTTTTCTTTCCACCTCCTTTCGTATTTTGTTCTAACTTCAGCTTACCCGTTCCTGGAAGTCATTCCCGAGGAAAGAATTGCAGACACGGGGCTGGGACAGACTTGTTCTGTGCCGCAAGCTAGACCAAGCAGGCCCACCTTGTTTGCTACATGTTTGTAGGCGAAGATACGGAGTAGCATTCCAGCGATCCAACCAATGATACCAGGTCCAAAAGGGCGCGTTGCACGAAAGCATCTTGGCCTGCATGCTTTTACATGGTCCTAATCATTGCCGAGGCCAGTCAAATGGCCTCAAGGTGATGTTGGTTGTTGGAAGGCGGAAACGTTATGTTCCTATTCGTCAGCGAAACACCCATCGTACAGGCGATCAAGCGGCACAGTAATGCTGAAGAAGTGTCTGTGTTGGAACTGTCGCTGACGTTTAATCCGATCCCTCCGGCGTTCTACTGAGAAAAGGCCGCGGAGTTCGCTCATCCTCGTTGTCGTTGTCCCCTCACTTGTTTGTCAATAGTTAGAAATCGAGATTTCAAGGGCTTACTTCTTGGACAGTCACCATGAGGTCCACACCTTTGCACCCCCAAGATGACTTCGATCGGAAGGCCATGGCTATGGCATTAGTCGGAGCTGCAGGGGTTCTCACAATATGCAACGTAAACTTCACAATCTCTGGCAAACGCTAAGTATCCCCAACTGACTGAAGCAGCTTTTATTGCAGTACCTCAACTCCCCCCTCAAACACATTCCTGGGCCCTGGCACACAAGATGCTCGAGATTGAGGTTGAAACTAAGCCGGTTGGGCGGAACCCGCATGACATACGTACACCAGCTCCACGAAAGGTACGGAAGCATCGTTAGAATCGCACCAAATGAAGCATCATGCATCGATATCCAGTCAGTTTCCCAGGTCTACAAAGTTGGCGGCGGTTTCGAAAAGGCGCAATGGATTGGCGACTACGCGAAGAAGCTTCCAGCTCTATCTCTGTCAATGATTCTCAACAGCGAAGAGGCAAAGCAGCGGCGAAAACTTTTGCAAGGATCTTTCACTCTCACATCCCTGCGACAAAATTGGGAGCCGACAATTAGGAGTAAGGTTGAAATCGCAGTGAGAAAGATCAAGACCGAGGCTTCAGCTGGCTCCTCAAACTCTCATAAGTGGTGGACGTATATGGCTGCTGATATCATCAGCCAGCTTTCATTTGGGCAATCATTGGGGGTCCTAGAATCTGGAGAGGTATGAAAGAACATTTACTCCCCATTCGGGCTTGAGACTGACAAACTAACCACGTATATGATGTTGTAGAGTACAATGTACATGCGAGCGATTGAGAATGCTCTGATAGCAGACGTCATTCAGTGCGAGATCCCCTTCCTCGCCACTCTGTCTCAACTCATACCTCGGTCACTACTCCAAACGTTCTCTAGGCAGCTTGAGCAAGTCAGGGTTGGTGGTGCAAACGGAGTGGAGAGTGTGAAACAGCGAGGACCCTCATCAAACCAAAGTATCTTCGCTGAGATGATTGCAGAATGTGAGGGTGAAGGTCGGCCTTGGTTGACAAAGGAGGCCGTCAGCATGGAGGGTGCAGGTATGATGGTTGCAGGAACAGACACAACTGCTGCCGTTTTGACGTACCTCATCTGGTCAGTGATGAAACAGCCAGTCTTACAGGAACAGCTCGAGGATGAGATTGCGCTGCTCGGCGATGACTTTGACGATAAACGGCTTGAGACGTGCCCCATCCTAAGTGCTGTCATAGAAGAGACCTTGCGCTTATATCCCGCCGTCCTCTCATCTCTACCTCGGCTTGTTCCAGAAGGGGGGACTACGCTGTCATCTCACTTTGTGCCCGCAGGTACTGTTGTTTACAGCCCGGCGTACAGTTTACAGCGCGACCCGGAAGTATTTCCGGATCCTCATCAGTACGTTTACCTAGATGATTCATCTGAAAAGGCCCTGGCTAACTCGAAACTTTCTAGATTCGATGTCAATAGGTACCTTGACCCGACCAAAGTCTCCCTCCAACAAAGGCAAGCATACATCCCATTGGGAGCTGGAGCCAGAGTCTGCATTGGTCAATACCTGGCAATGATGGAGCTCCGGCTTGCCACTGCCGTATTCTTCAAAAGCTGTCGCGGGGCAAGACTAGACCCAAACATGCCAGCCGACAGTATGGAATTGAAGGATTACGTTCTTTTATCGCCAAAGAAGAAGCAATGCGATGTCAGATTGATCTAGAATGGGAAGCCCAACAGATGTCGGCTACTAGGGCCGTTCCTTGAAGAAAGTTTCTCCGCATGGATTCAATGCAAGTTGAGAGAGTTCACAGAATACCCGCTTTTTAACAATGGAATAGTGCAAATACGGCATGCCAGCTAGATGCACTAGTCATATTTGCATAGGAGGGCAACTTCCAATATTGAAGCCTCTTTGAAAGGCCCCTGTCAACCTACTATTCGTTCTTGCCAGGAACAAACGCTTATGCCTTGCAAGGATATGCTCTTGGTTGAGGTTGGGACCACCCCCAAAGCCAACTGATTCTAGATTCGCCAAGGTCACTGGATAAAGTCTGCCAAAGAGAATATTCCAGGCCTGCGCTAATTCAGTCACCTTACCCAGAGATGAATTTCCATGATAGGCTAAGTGATTTACGGTAAAGCGCCACAATCATGGCCGAGAGTACATTCCATGAGAGATGATGACGTCGTTGGGCCAAAGCCGGCGTCATCGCCTAACAGCTAAGTTCTAAAAGGTGACAAAAGCTCAGCATCATCACTAGCACCTTGAGTTTGACACTACACTAGTGTTAAGGACTTGCTATCATGCTCTCCTGGCTCTTGGATCCATACATGCTCCATTCATCATCATCTCGGCTATATTGCATGTAGCCGACGACCCTCTTAAATACTCTGAAAAGATCTGGACTACTGCACCAACGTCAACTTATCGTTTCAATTTGACGATACGAAAACATGGCTCCCTCATCAGACAACCTAGGATTCCAATGTGCTATCATCACCGGTGGCGGTGGTGGTATCGGCAAGGTGATGGCCCAACACTTCATTTCTAAAGGCAAAAAGGTCATCATCGCCGGACGCACAGAATCGAAACTCCAAGAAACAGCAAAAGAGATCGGGGCTGTCGATTACTACGTGCTCGATACGGGCAAGGTTGAACAGATCCCCGACTTTGTTAAACGTGTCACCAAGGATCACCCTGACCTAGACTGCCTCGTCAACAACGCCGGGGTGCAACGCCCTCTTGAGATCCTGAAGGACGATGATTTCCTCTCGAAGGCGGACCAAGAGATCGACATCAATATCCGTGGCCCAATGCATCTGGCCCTAGGACTGCTACCACACCTACAGACAAAAGAGTCCGGCCTAATCATCAACGTTTCGAGTGTCCTCGGCTTCATACCATTCTCCATCATCAACCCCGTCTACAACGGCACCAAAGCTTGGCTGCATTTTTGGAGCATGAATCTTCGCACACAGCTCAAGAATGGCGGTTCCAAAGTCAGAGTTGTAGAAATTGCGCCACCGACAGTAGCAACTGACCTGCACCGAGAGCGATCGGATCCAGACGACAACAAGAAGGAGAATAATCCGGATGCCCTCAGCGTGGATGAGTTTATGGAGGAAGTTGCTAGTAAATTGGAGGACGGTGTCGAGACCATCGGGCCGGGAATGGCTGGAGAGGTCATTAACAGATGGTATGGTGCGTTTGGTGAGCAATACGCAAAGGCGGCTGGGGGTAAATAGTTGGATTATTCCTCAAAGCGAGCAGATATTACATGCATTACCTAAATATGACTTCTCAATCTGAAATGACATCCGTTATACTGAGGATATGAACGACTTACTGTAACTCTCCACGGAGTATGACGGACAGTGCGAAACGGTGCCCAGCAGAAACATCACGATATTCCAATATGATATGGGCCAGTCAGTCGCAGGTTTCGCAAGGGCACATCTGATTCGTGAGCTGGCTCAATCACCACGTAGTGCGAGGTAAGATTGTTGCGCCAACGACGTATTTGCTGCACACTTCTGAAACCCTCACATCACATTATGGATCACCAGCGCGCTCCTTACGCAAGTCTCACGACCGAGGCCTTGGCTGAGCTTGCCCAGGATGACTTCCAAGATCACAAGTCTCCTAAAAAGGCATTCTATCGACACCATGAATTGTACGACGTGTCAACACAGGCCACAAACGGCGGCTGCAATTTATGTCAACTCATCTTTGAGTGCTTCATACATAACCCCTGCGACGAAGCAGAGCAGCCGTGATAACGTCGTTCATCATGGATATTGACTTGCCATATCACAGAAACATTGTTGAAACGTGAACCAACATTGCATAAATGGCTGAACGGAATCTCTCTTTTGTATATAGCACAATGATACGATTTTCGCTCCGTCACTACACTGGCAGGTAAGGCGATAAGCAAACCTCAGAGAAATATAACCAAGTTGACAGGCATGGGCGCCAAAATTGACTTGATTGCACTTGCGGTAATACTGCTGCCAGCACGATTATTAGGGAGCATACGATACGCTAAAGGCCACCGTCTCGGCCTCATCATAGTCCGCATCCATCTCAGAATTGCCGAAGATGTGCAGAGCTTTCACGATCATCTTGTATCTACCTGGACCGACCAAGGTCCTGTTAGCCAGTCTGCCATCCCATGTGGTGCTCAAAGTGCCCCTAGGTTGATATTTGAGAGGGCTTTGAAAAGTTTCTCCAACAGTGGTCCAATCGTTCCCGTCGGCATTGTCCACCAAGACATACATACGTACAAGGGCCGATCCCATGACCAGTTTCACGGATAATTTTGGGTATTCGTATATTCCTGCTGATGAATTGCTAGGCGTGTCCAAGGGCGGCAGCGTCCACGTCTTGTTCTCAGCAGCAGGACTTCCTGTCCCGTCGCTGGCACTCGTCAAAAAGGTGGATGCAGAGTCAAGCACTTTGAGGGATCGCATGCTTCCGGATACACCCATGTAAGGAACCGAGAGGTTATCCCCACCAGCGCTGGTGACTGTGACGTATCCTGAGTATACCGGTAGTCGCCTTCCGTCGAGGCCAGCTGGCGATGCCAAGTGAACCGTGATCGCTAGTTCCTGTCCAGCTGGGATTGTGACGGAAGAGCTGGGGCTAAAAGAAATCTCGGCGTAGGACTGGACCAGATCGTTAGGGAAAGCATCAGGGACAATGTCGGATGGTGCAGCGAAGGTGTAAGCCGTATTCGCCCCTGTGTGCCCGAGTTCGTACCGAATAGGTCGTGCTGAAGTATTACGGATAGTGAATTTTCGCATTGGGGTAAAATTGTCCGTATCGTTGAAAGACAAACTCGAAACGCTCAGAACAGTCTGAACACGAGCAGCATCGTAGGCCTGAATCAATCCCGATCCCTGCTGAGGAACTGGCGCAAGGAATTGTGACTCGTTGCGCCCATCGTGGAACTTCGCCGGCATCGAGGTGGAGGATATGACAGTTTCCAATTCTCCTGGATCTTTCGTCCCGCGAGCCTCCATGAGAAGTGCGTAAATCCCGGCCGCAAGCGGACATGCCATAGATGTCCCCGTCAGCACAGCGTAATAGCCTTTGGATCTCGGGAAAGTAGACAGGACCATTCCACCCGGGGCTGCGAACTGCGGCTTGATATCTAGCTCGTATGTCGGCCCCCAGCTGCTGTCAACACTCAGGAAACCCGGGGTGACGGTGTTCTTCTCGCTCACAACGATGGAAGGCAAGCCAGTCGGCTTCACCATGTGAACGAGAACATTGGCCCCTTCCTCCAGTTTCGAGATCCATTCAGCGCCTTGGCTGGCAGTCACCATTGCCATTCCTTCAATACCAGGAACCACGGCGGTGATTGGGATGGTACCGATGATGTCGCTGTAGAAGATGATGTACTTGGCGCCCTTCGCCGCCGCGTTCGTCGACTTCTGGGTGAATGTGCAGGTTCCCCGGCGAATGAGAACAATGTGCCCAGACAGGTCGGGAGTGGTTCCCGAGAAAACATCGCAGCCATTTGCCGGGTCGGTCGTGTCGAAGTTGACAGCCCACAGCGGCAGTGTCACGTTGCCCCAATTCGACGCGGTTGCCGTGGAAAAGCCAAAAGGAATCGGAGTATCAAACGTGTCCCCAACAGCGTAAGTGGAATTTTGCAAAAGGATAGGAACCTCTGTATTGTCGACAGAAGCAATAGCGGTGGCCTTGTGGCCGTTGGCCGCAGTGGAGGCGTAAAACAGCCCGAAAGATCCGGAGTTTCCAGCAGACAGGAGACAGGACACACCCTTTTCGACAATACGATCGACCGCGACGGCCCACGGCTCTTCGGCCCACCCGGACGCGCCGCCGATAGAAGTTGTGATGATGTCGGCGCCGGCTTCGTACGCCATGTTGTACGCCGCTATAACTACGTCGTTGGTGACCTTCCCGCTACATCCAAAGACGCGATACGCCCCCAAGGAGACGCCTGTTGCGGCGCCGACCACCCCGACTGGGTTCCCTGGCTGCGCGGCGATGATGCCGGCGACGTGCGTTCCGTGACCGTTACAGTCCATGGGATCTGGACCAGAGACGGGATTGTTGGTGCCGTTGTAGGCGTCACCGACGAGATCAGCACCCCATGAGACCAAGCACCCTGGGCCGAAGCATCCGCCCAACGCAGGATGAAGGTAGTCAACCTGCAAAGCATGTCAGGAGGCTACTCAAGGCATATTTTCGGTCTTGCTTGGAATACTGACCCCAGTGTCAATGACTGCGACCCGGATACCACTGCCCACGATGCCCTCGTTCCGCAGCTTGTCTACTTGGGTCATCACATGGGTTGAGAACGAATCGTTTGCTGAGACTTGACGAACAGACTCGCGCTCGGTGGTTGCCGAACTTGAACTTTGAGAGCCTCCGGACCATAAGACGTCATGCTGAGGGAGGTCATAGGCCTGAACGGGCCACACACTTTTGATACCCGGCATGTCCAAGATTGCCGAAGCGTGCTGAGCAGCGTTTTTGACGTCATGGAACTGGACAGAAAGCCCTTTGAAGAGCGTGAAATTGAAGTCTCGTCGCTTAGTAGCATCTGCAGCGAGGTATTCCAGCAGAGCCGCTGGGTTCTACTTGGCGGTCAGTAACCGATCTCAACCGTGACTGCACACCATAAGACTTACATGATCCTCTGCGTACTCGATGATGTACGCTCCCTTTGCAACGTCCGCCGCTGCAACACGTCGAAAATACAGACCAGCCAGCACCAGCTGGACAACGAACGAGTACAACATTGTCAAGTCTGCTCACGCTTAGGGTTGGACAGCAGTGAATTAAAATGTATTTCTGCGACTTGAAAACGGCTTTGAATACTGGCTCTTATTTGAACGCCGAGACGCTAAGAGACTCGCCCTTATCACCACATTTCGAAGGAGTTGACTCGCCTGAAAATTGCTCCTCGTTCAAGGGACTATTGTAAGGAGGGGACTTATGTCACTAGTGCAGGAAGAGCACTTCGAGATTCACCTTATCATGATATTTTGGCCCCGTCTGGAGCTCGTAGCGTGCGGCACAGTCGCCTACGGCTTTTGACCTAGACCGTTGCAAGGGTCCAACGATGTATCTCAGGTTCGGACTAGGCCGCAATCCCGGGGAACTTTTGACAGCTCTCTCTTCATCCGGCGGCGGGAACATTACTATTTGAGGTCGATAAGCAGAAAAGGTTCGCATGGGTAACTCAACGCTAATGATTACTCCATTGCTGGCGGCGGCGAGGAGCGGCATGGATGCTTACAAGAGAAAAGCGAAACCACCCCTGCACTTCATCCGGGCCTTGTCCTATCGATTATGGGTTTCCGGTTACATACTTTCCCAATTTCAAACATGGAAACGTCCCCCTGGTTACAGTTGTTGGGAGAATTTCGTGCGTCACGCTGCCGATTATGGAGAGAGTGCGGAAGTTGGAAAGGCCATTGGGTGGGGGAAAAGGGCGCTGCTCTTTGGTATCCTACAAGATCTCTTCATCAAATCTTCAACTACAATGTCTTCGTCCTGCCAAATAAAAGACGAGAGAGATACCTACCCCTACAGATTCCTTTATCTTTTAACCATATCTGTTTTGTTATTCTCACACTACTCCTTGTAGTATCTCTGGGCGGTGCATTTTGTCTGTATCAACAGAGACCGTCACGTTATTGTTCCACCCCTGTGGAAGGGCAAAACATGCTCGGCACTGGGGCTGTGCAGAGTCTTGTCCGTGCCTTAGTGGCGAGAGAAAAGGACGGTTCATGTATCAGAAGAATTATGGTGTGGCCAAGTTTGAAAGCGTGCCTCTTCTCAGAGATAGTTAGATTTCAAGATGTTCCTAAGGTAAATAAATCCTGGTATATTCGTTGGCATCCTGCGCCAAAGTAGAGATGCCAATAAGCAAAATTACCGAGGGCTTGGTAAGGGTTTTCTACAGACTTGCTTCTCGAGGTTAATCCGAGAGACTGGACCAAATATGGTGAGCACAGTCTGTTTTCACTAACCCACTTTCTGCGTCGTGGCCGTCTCATTCCATCTCCACTGGTGTAGTTGTCTCTCTTTTGCCCATTCCTTCACGCTGTCAAAGCTACGACAATGGTGTCTAGTAGCCAAGGTTGAATAAACATTGTCGTCGCGGGCCCGGTAATAAAACGGCGTGGGAGTAATGTCGGCTGAACACATGATGGATTGACGGAGGATGTCGACGCAGTGGTCTGAGATCGTCAGCAAGAGAATATTGAATAACGCGTTTCATCACTTACCCCAGTGAAGAGCCAGGATCGTATCGTGGTTCACGGTACCGTCTTTGTGATACTCCCACAAGCCGGGGTACTCATCGGGATACAATGCCTTGCGCAGATGATTGACGCAGTGCAGTTGGTGAAAAACACTGAGGGAAACCACGTAGGTGTTGTTATCGTGGGGGAGGTGAGCGGTAGGTTCGGGAAGCTGAGACGCTTCCTCGGGCGTCAGTCCAGTGAGACCAACTGGTAATTGATTAGCATTCGCTCTTCTGGCAAGCAGTTGCAAGACTTACAGTTGTACAACTCCTTCCACATCTCGTCAATCTCCCGAGATGGTTTTTCCATGTAAGGACTCCTGTTGTCGGCAGCAAAGTATTTCCCGAAATCAACGTCTTCGTAGGTGATAACGTCCATAGCTGGGGCTGCCACTTTGTCAGTCAACGCAACCCCCAAAGTCATAACTAAGGGCATCATACAATAAGGGCCAAGTGATGGATCCTTGCAGTCACATCTCTTCCAGAGAGGCTCAGTGATTAGAGCAAGAAGCGAGAAACTGAGGACAATGTAGACACTGATGATGTGTCCATGCTGCCGTATGGTGGTCCACCAAGATATGTTGGGGACACGGCGCATTGAGCGAAGAAATGACACATCCTCGCCGTCCGTTAGGCCAGGAATTTTTTCTTCGGATTCAATCGGCTCGTAATGGTTTCCCATCTTGATTGTCAAAAATTTGGGGGAGGAGATGAAAGGAAAGAAGGAAGGGAGAAAACCTAGAACATTTCCATAGAAAAGTCATAAAAGTTACTCAACCCAAGAACAGTATATGATCCATTTGAACACGCATGGACGCCAGTGGCGTTGAATGACAGCCCAAACCTTTCTTTCCAACATCACTCTACAATAGGAAGGTGAAAGGCTCTTGGAAATTTCGTGATATGTTGGCCGGTTCGTCAGCAGGCGACATCACATCACATCACAGGGGGCGAATGTGGCACAGCACGTTTGTCATGCCGAACCATGGCACGCGGATGGCACTGGACTCCTCCTGTCTTGTTTTGAGGTCCTTGAGGTGATCGAGACGGAACTTTCGGCATGACCCTATTGCCGCGCGGGCGCTCGAATTAATTGATACGCGCTTAACTCAAAATCTGTAAGCGCTAGCAATATGCACCCTGCAGGTAGTGGATTACCTAGTCTCCCTGAGATAAGCTTTGAAAATAAGCCTTTGCCAATTACTGGTGGTTGCGGCCCGCTCCGCCGTCCGAATACCTACCAATTCATCAACTGCGGAATGGCGACATTACATAAGTACGTACTGATATGAGTAGCTAACCATACGTTAATCCGAACCCAATTCCCTTATTTCCTCCCATCAAAAATTTCACAAAAGAGAAGAATTGGAGCAAACTGGGGAACCGATGTACTGTCACCATTTCCGCAGTTGATGGGATAATCTGCCCGTGACGTGGGAGTAGAGGCGGGAAAGCTGTGTAGAGCAACCCAGCCTCCTTTCCGTCGGGTTCAGGGGAGAGTAAGGGACTTTTGGCCTCAGCATGGGATTTGAGGCTAAGACCAAAGTCCCATAAGACCAAAGTCCCATTAGATCAAAGTCCCATAAGATCAAAGTGCCATAAGATCAAAGTCCCATTTATTTCCAACTGCACCGTCGGCACCAACAACAAATTTACAAGCTCGTGATTAAGTGTGTAGGCAACTTACCGAAGCGAAAGGATGCGGGTAGGACTCCTTGACCAGATCTTTATCTGTTCGCCTTGCAGTTAATTGATCCTTCGAGTCGTCAACGCTAGGCCAAGTACGACAGGCATGTTCGCTTCGTTGATTGGGCCTCGTCTCCGTGGCTGAAGCATTTACAAGGCGTCCTGTGAACTACATGTATCTTGGGCCGGGGTTGTAAGGCACCCGTTGTGAGCCTAATAAATGGTTTGTACTGTCACCTGCGGCACGGAACTTGTCGATACCACCTTCTTAATTGGAAGATATTACCCTACTCGAAATGTGTTAGCTGATGCCTTCAGATAATTCCCAAAGGACCTTGGAGGTGTTGAGTTGTCACCTTGAACTGCTTCCTAGACCCTCGACTACCTCGCTTAGTCGCTCGCGTGAAGGTTGCTGTTCTTGATGAGACTTGCTTTACTTGCGCTCTTTATCTCTGTGCGATATTGTCTAATTATCTCCTCTTCCCTCAGCTCTGTCGGTTTCAATCCACCCAGACAGTATGTGGTCTTTTCGACTTGACACCAAGGTGAATGAGGGCATCTATTTTCGGTGGGCAGACAGCACCCGACTGAAAGGCCCCAGAGATTTCATCAGGAGCACCATATTTGTGTTTTTGATGGCTGTTTCTTTCTCTCTGGGAATCGGATACTTGGTTGGAAAGGGATCGCGTCACATTAAACAGGAGATCTCTCAAACTCTCGAGTGTAAGTGTCACGTTCATACCTAGGGCGTTCCCAAGTCACTAACGTACACTAGTAAGTGAAGTTATTCACCCTCTCCAAGGGAATCAATCGTTTATCGGACGTCCAAACCAAGAAAGAAACCGTGCATGGGAGAATCTGTTTCCGGAGGATGGCGGATTCTTCATTCATCCATCCATAGCCCCAGAGAGGTCTGTCTTCTCGACATTCCATCAAGTGCATTGTTTGGTAAGAGATACCCATATAGTTCCAAGCTCTGCTCTAAACATAAGTACAGGAGCAAATATGGAGGAGCTGGTGGTCTCTGTATGACGAAAAACGTAGACCACACGCTGAACCAGGCCATGGCCAAAAGAGGAGGAGCCATCTGCACGCCCCCGATGAGAGTGGACAACATCATCATCAGGTCTCAGAGACTGTCCACTTCAATCACTGCGTTGAGCTGCTTCGTAATGTTCTCATGTGTCAGCCTGATTTGACCGTTGAGGTTGCGAATCCGCAGACGGGTGGGGTGACGGGTTTTGACAGCGAACACAGGTGCCAGAATTGGGACGATTTGCTGAGATGGACGAGGGAATGGCAAACAAAATTGTAACTTTAGAGGCAAATCTTTCTTTAATTCCCAGAATAGGCCAGGTGCATCCTCATGTCTATTTCGAGTTTTGGGCAGCTGCCTGTTGAGAGCCAGCTCACCAAGCCTGTTAAATCAGCTGTATTGTCGAGGCACGGCAATACGTTCTCATCATTCTGTAATCGCAGACCTCATAAGTTATTCTTACGTAGAAGCTGCCAGAAAACTTGTTCAGCTCCCGTGGGTATAACAAATTTGTCCTTGCAAGCCTAGCAGAATCATTTTGTTGACTAGGTCTGTCGCGGAAAAGGCACGGTATCTAGGCATTCCAGCCAAGAAAACCCCAGTTCACTCTCACTTGCAATAATTTGAGCTATCTGATAGTGAAATTAAGTTAGAAGCAGAACGTACTTCTCATCGCCTGATAGCCTCAGACCTACCCTTCTGAGCGGATGGTCTAGTCTTACGTGAGAATGCATGTTGGGACCGTTACAACGGCCTTTTATCTTTCAATCCCGTCGAGGGGTGTTCTCTGAGAGTATGTTCCACGCATTTGTGTGTGGGTCTAAATGCCAAAAAAAAAGGACCATGAGCCTTGTCCTACTGGCTTGGTAATATCTAGGTCAAGGATGAAGAGAAGCAGACTGAGTCCGCGCGCGTATGAGGGTCCTTTTGTGAAGCAACAGCATCAAAGGGACTGGAGCCACTGGGATTAGTCTTGAATAGGAATGAGAAACAGTAACACCTGTACTCCTTCGCGATAGTGTACGGCGTAGCAGTCCGTGCCGTTGGACACATACAAGTGTTTCTTCGTTGACATGGGACCGGACCATGTAAGTTGCCGGCTCTCGCGGAAAACCGAAGTCCCTATCGAATGTCTCTCAGACAATGCTCCCCTGAGGCAGAATTATCGAGATATCCAGAGGGAAAACACCAAGTCACTCCGCATCGGCGTACAAGGCCACAACCATAGCAAGTAGAGAATGGGGCATATAGCATAAGACCGTGGCGATGAAAAGTATAAAGGATTCTTCGTCCGCTGCCCTTTTTGTCTCCTGGAGCATCTCCATCGACACATTCTCTCCAATCTACATCTGATCTCAAAACCATTCTCCATCAACCTCCCTAACTCATTCAAAATGCAGTTCCAATCTTCTCTTCTCGCCCTTGCCAGCATCCTGCCCCTTGCTCTGGGCGCCCCTGTCGGAGTCAACACCGACAACCTCACCCGCAGCCAGAAGGCACTCTTGGATTCCTCCAAGCTTATTGTGAGGCTTTTGTACTCCTCGAGCAGCTTTGAAAGACTAAACCGCTAACTTCACATACTCAGTGTGGCCAGTATCCCGGCAGCGAGTGGGTCGGGATCGGCCCACTGAAGGTTCCTTGTAACTCTCCTCTCCTCGCTACTCGCGATGAGTCCACCGACTTGGACACCAACTGGACGCACGAGTACGCGAAGAAGAGACATGAGGGCATGGAGGAGGACGGTGTTGAGGTTAAGCGTGACGAGATCACTGACCTCGACACTAACTGGACGCACGAGTACGCGTAAATATTGTAGGGTATTTTAGTAGGATTCTTGTTTATGATCTCTTCAGGGAGGTCGTAATGTTGGGGAAGCGGAATTGTATAGACAGTCTATAGTTGTTCCCCGCTTTTGTCATTTGATACGAGGGCAGAAGTACAATAAAACCTCCTGGTTACAACAACCACAAACCTTGGTCGGGGAGGGAGAGTTCATGGGCGGTTGTACCTCTCGCAGATTGCGTATCTTGAATGATAGAGTGTCCAGGTGTAGTACCGGTTTGCCGGAAGCGTGCGCACATCCACCGATCTTAAATTCGCTATTTGAATACGAGCTGTCGATGACCACCATCGTCAGCCCTCCAGCGAGAGCATACTACCTGCCTAAATCTGCTAGCCTGGATTCGGTTAAGGCGGACACGACTTAGTTTCTGACTCCTGGTGGCTGCGCCGCAGGTCTGCAGCTGATAAGTCGCGGGACCGACGTCCATTCAACATAAATATCCAAGGATCTCCCAGCATTTGCTTCCTCTGAAGTGTTAAACCTTGCCCTAGGCTTTCTTATCACGTCCAAACTAGCTATGGCCTCTAACGACGAGGTTGAGGCAATCGCCTCTGACCCAAACTTCGAGATCATCACAACCTTTGCCTACTCGGCAGGTCTCCCCCAGAACGAGGCATCTCTGCCGGGGTCACACTGCTACCTGCTTCAGCACGGGATCGATCGTCTCCAAGCTGCGGCGTCTGATCTTTCATGGGCCGCCGTGACTGAGGACTTGCGTAGCATCGACCGTGTACAATCATTGTCCAAGCAGGTCAGCGCTCACATGCTTTCAACCCACGGCGAAGCATCCAAGGACCCGGGCAGACGCTTCATCGTGCGCTTGGCGTTCAAGAGAGACGGGATTCTCAGCATCATGTCGGGCCCGAGGCCCACCTCAACGGATTCCCTTTACCCAAGAACCTTGTCGAACATCACGGACTCTCTCAGTACTTCAGAAATCCCTGTGTACCTGGACATGGAGCCGACAAAGCCTTCACTGTTCACCAAGCACAAAACAACGCATCGCCAGTCTTACAGCGCCGCTTGGAAACGTGCGGGTATAGACGAGGCGACGTCGCCTGCTGAATGTGACGTGCTGTTACAGAATGACAATGGTCATATCATGGGAGCCGCGTTTAGGACGGTGTACTTTTGGAGGGATGGTAGATTGGTGACTCCGAGTAGTGTGACTGGATGCAAGATGGGCGTCTCGAGAAGATGGGCAGTGGAAAATGCGGGCGTGAAGGAAACATTGATCACAGCTATGGACATCGGCGATGGCGAGGTGGTTTGGTTGAGTTCGGCTGTAGGGGGCTTCATACAGGGAAAGGTCACTCTGGAAAGAAAGACTCGAGATGAATAAGTTTTATGAGCCCGAGGATGTTTGCGGCTCTATGATTCACGGCACCCTAATCGAAAGAATTTCCAGAGCGCTCAGATGAATCATAGATGTTACGTGTATCAATGGCCTGTTTTTGCATAACGTGAATGGCATAAGTACAAAGACCACTGTCGCACAGTCTGAATTTGTCATATCTCGTTTTGACATGGTTGCAAAGTAAAATAACTGACGACCCGAAGAAGCTCCGAATGTCGATTCCATGAAATGGCCAAGCAACTGCAACATTTGGAAATTCAGCTTTCTATAGATGCTGCACACTTGCATAGCTAGCGACCAGTTCATGAAGTTCTTGTTTCGACGGGGTCATGGTGCAAGTCGGTGCTCCATATATGGACGATGATAATGGATACTTTATGGCACATGGGCCTGCCCTGTTCTCCTGCTTACTTTGGGCAGGTTGACAACACATCTAAGGATATGCAATTGTCTAGTATGATTTCTTACCGTACCTATCTGGGAGATGAATTGATGCTGTTAATTCTGGTTCAGACACCACCTCGCGCATTGCCAGTTTCCGAACCGGTCGTTCTGAGACTGGTGAGGATCTTAGATCTAGCCGGAATCATGCACTCGCGAGGCAATGGTTGATGGACTGCCGTAATTCATACAAAACCTATCTATCAAGCCAAGAGCACGAGCTACCCACCAGAGTTGTTGACGTAGGAGAATCTCTGGATTCTGGAAATGTCCGCTTAGTCCCGACGAAAGGCGCGAAAGATCACTACGTTGCTCTGAGTCACTGCTGGGGTGGTGCAATCTCCCCTGCCCTGACGGCCGAAGCCTTGGGACCTTTTCAAGACTCCATTGTCGTCATAGATGTTTTTCAGAATTACCAAGATACCATCACAATAACTCGCAGTTCAAGTTTTCGTTTTCTACGGATAGACTGTCTTTGCATCGAACAAGATTCCGAGTCGGATCGGGAAAATGAGTTTAAAAGAATGAGGTTGGTTTACCGCAACTCAACAGTTACGACTTCTGCTATGATGTCAATAGTAAGTAGAGAAGGTAAACTCAAGTCAGACCATGCTCAGACAGCAAGAGGTAAACGTCAATGCCACAATCGAAATTTCGAACAGCCAACACAGTCCCGTGGCTACTGTATGGCGGAGAGAGCAAAACGAAGAGGACTTTCGAAGCCTTGATAGAAATAGTGCGTTGCAAACACGAGTGACACTTCAAGAGTATATGCTGTCGCCAAGACATATCCTATATGGTCAAAGCATGACTTACTGGAGGTGCCCCCAGCACCTTGTCTCAACAGATGGCCTTCTCTCCAGCAACCAATCACCGTAGTCTGCCTACAAAGATCTCACGCAGATCATTTACTCTAGAATTCTTGCCTCTCCCTCTCCCAGGCCCCTGGAAACAAATGTCATCCTATGTGACTATTACGAAGTAGTAAACGTATATACCCAAAGGAAGCTTACGTATGGTTCAGACAAACTACCGGCCTTCTCGGGTATTGCACAACGTCTGCATCCAGTTCTTGAAGGGCACTACCTGGCCGGTCTCTGGACTTCGGACTTTCTGCGCGGCCTCCTGTGGATCCCCGAGGGAAACTTCTGCTATCAAGATAAGAGACAACTAGCGCGCCTCTTCGTGGTCATGGGCCATGACTGAAGATATGGTACTTTTTGAGGAATCGACAATAATAGGGCCGAGCCCTTCGAGTGCTCAACTCTTAGAATACAACATCCATTCAAGTGTTCCCGATAATCCATACGAGGAGATTCTGTTCGCAAAGCTCATCCTCAGAGCTTCAACTATGCCTTTGGTTCGTAGCCGACAGATCGTCAGTAAATACTACAGCACTGCCTCCATTGGGTATGCCAGCTTCGATGAAGCGGCTCGGGCTGAGGACACTGTCAAGATGGGGCACCCGAGTTTCTTCAGATTTAACGGAGACGATCGAGACTACGTCGTCTCGATTGTCACTGGACCGGGAGACAAATCGAACTGGGAGCTGGACACGGATATTTGCCGCGACGACAAATATGCGCTGCTAGCGAAGAAGGAGCCGGATGTTCAAATTCTGAGGCACTTGGTCTAGTCATCCGTGAAGCGACAGCCGAGGCCGAGGAAACATACGAGAGAGTAGGATTCGCCCGGATACAGGCGCCCAAGTTGTCTTGGCTCAAGGCTTGGAACTGGCAGGTTTTGACACTGGTCTGATGCGGGTAGTGTAGACGTTGAGTTCAAGTCTTAACCGTGGAACTCTGCCGACCTTGGGTTTATTAGAGCACATCTTGTTCTATCGCATTCTAAGTTGAGCGCGTGTCAGTGAGGTAACATCCAGCCTCAAGCACATGCAACCAGTCAAGACAGGGCGCATGAGTCGTGCAAAACCGAGCAAACGATTCTCACCCCAACCCCGCCGTCACGAACCTTGTCAAACGCCCGCCTAGATTTCCTATTTCACTCAATCTTCCCATCCCACCCTAGCCGCAACCCCGATACGACTCCTCCTCAAATGCGGGGGAAACATTGGCATTGACCGGCCTTTAATCCAGTTTAAGCCCATGGACCATCTAATAGACTGATGCGGCCCGGGTGGAGCCAGGCACATCTGCACAACCGCTGCACCATGTCGCATTCTGTTTATAAGCGCCCGAGTCCGAGTGGTCGTGTCCGTCAATGGGACGTTTACCCCGATAAGTTCAATCAGCCTGGCTATTTTCCCCGCGTTGATTCCCCGACTCATCAATCATGTGGTTTTTCCTTACCCCTGGGGAACTGGTGGAGATCTTGGAACTGCCGGAAAGATATTTCAATGGCGCGCGTAGAATCGTGATGACCTCACCTGGGCCAAGGGTGGCATTGAGTCAATTCCGGGGATGACGGGGCCGTGCGGGGAGACCGTTGCATTTTCGCACTCGGAGAATGGCCTGCGATTGAGCTATAAACATGAGTATTCCATAGCAGAGCGTGGTCTTGTTGTGGGAAGAGTAGTGGTAGTTGTGAACCTCGAAGATTCTCAAATCCGGCCTCAACGGATCATCAACCATGGCCTCCGTCGCGTTCACTCTCCTGACGGCGCTCGCCACCCGCGCCTCGGCCAAGACCCATAAGACGCCGACTCCTCAGATGGGATGGAACAGTTATAACTACTACAACTGCTACCCCAACGAGACGTTGATCAAGGAGAACGCACACGCCTTGATCAATACAGGTCTAGCCGACGCTGGGTACACCACTGTGACCACCGACTGCGGCTGGCCGGCCAAGGAGCGCTCCGCCGACGGCGAGCTCGTGTGGAACCCGGAGTTATTCCCATCCGGAGGCGGCAAGGAGCTCGGTGATTACATCCACAATCTCGGCTTGAAGTTCGGTGTCTACTCCGGCGGCGGGTACTACCAATGCGGTTCCACAGATCAGCCCGCTTCTCTCGGTGAGTAGTAATCACCCGGAAGTCCAATACTTGGTTTAGTTCTAACAAGGTTGTCAGATCATGAGCTCACCGATGCCAAGTCATTCGCCGATTGGGGCGCAGATTCCTTGAAGTACGTCCACCGTGGAGTAAAGTTCTCAAGAATGCTGGGTGCTAATACGAGGTGCACATCAGATACGACAACTGCTACGCGGTCGAACCCACGGTTATGGTCGACTACGTTTCCGAAGAAGCCGTTTCACCGGATCGCTTCGTAGCGATGGCAGATGCGCTGAACACAACGGACCGAGACATCCTCTACCAAGTCTGCCAATGGGGCACTGGAACTGACTTGGGTATCTGGTACGTCGTCCACGACAGCGAAATACCAAGCCTTCACAAGGGACTAACTGGATGAACAGGGCGCCCAAGATTGGCAACAGCTGGAGAATCAGCAACGACATCTACAACGGCTGGCGCAGCATTTGGCGGATCACGAACCAAGTTGTTCCGTTTTACAAGTACACCGGCCCAGGTGCTTTCCCCGACATGGACATGCTGCTGTGAGTAGCAGACTTCTTACCACAGGACTGTGGTGTTTTAATTCCGGCGCTGATAACATCATCCCAGTATTGGTCTCAGCGCCCTGTCGCTTGAGGAGGAGAAGTTCCACATGGGAATGTGGGCCATCAACAAGTCTCCCCTTACCCTCGGTGCCCCCGCTATCCCCGGTCTTGTCCCGGAATCAGCCCACGAAATCCTCGTAAACAAGGAAGTCATCGCCCTCAACCAAGACCCCCTCGCCAAGCAGACAGAACTTGTCCGCCGCTACACCGAGGAGGAATGGGACGTCTGGGCCGGCGAGTTGTCGGGCTCCCGCCTCGTGGTCGGCCTGGCAAACTGGAAAAACGATTCCCAGGCCGTGAGCGTCGACCTCGCGGCCGTCTTGGGTGTCGTCTCGGCCAACGCCCGCGACGTATGGGCGGCCAGTGACATCGGCTCCATCTCGGGCACGTACGAGACGACGTTGAACGGCCACGAGCTCAAGTTGCTCGTGCTCTCGGACCTCTCTACGACGGCACCCGCCGTCGACGCGTCAGCCGGATATTACACGGCCACTGACGCCGCGCTGTCTGGCTCAGCCTCCAAGGTTACTTGCGCAGAGGGTCAGTGTCTCCCAAGCAGCACAAAGGTGGGGAATATCGGGTCAGGGGCCGCGGTCAAGTTTGAGGGCGTTGAGGCCAAGTCGGAGGGCAAGAAGCTGCTTGGCGTTGACTTTATCAACTATGAGATCGCCCTCGACACCGCATGGCAGTTTGGGTCCAATACCCGCAATTTGACCATCTCAGTCAATGGTGGTACTGAGAAACGGTGGGCCTTCCCCATCTCCGGCGGCAACTGGTTTGACACTGGCCGCTTGCTCGTCGAGGTTGATGGCTTCAAGGGCGATAGCTCGAACACGGTGGAGTTCAAGTCGTTTGGAAGTGCTTGGGCCCCCGACTTGGTTGGTTTCGAAGTTTTCGAGGCCAGTTAGGTGAAATAGTCATTTGTAGGCGAGATTACGAAAACAAGACAATCTTGAATCCTTACATTGAAATCCTCCTAGTACACCCAGGAGGCTTGATATTAATCATTCTCGCCCATATCATCAAGGACTAGTATACAAAAGAAAAGAGGCGTTGTGAGTATAGCACAGGGGTATTCGTAACGAAAAAGAGCCTTGATCATCGCATGCCAGAACAGAGTCCAGAAGCATCCATCCCAACCATTACCATCAATTACATAGCCGCATCACTTAACCCCTCATCTCCTTCTTCTCCGATGACCGAGGATGTCCGGGGTTGCTGGTCAGCGAGTCCTCGTCATCAACCCTGTAGAAAGAGCTTCCGCTCGCCGCATCATCATGACGCCCGCTGAAAGATGAGGCAGGGTTCGACTTCGGCGAGTGGGACTCAACGCGGACTTCAACATCGACTCTTCGGTGGATGCCGGTTCTAGCTTCCCGGATGGCTTCGAGGTCCCTATCTTCAGGAACGGCTCCGACACTGGCGCGGTGGAAACTCTTAAGACCTCCGGTTTCGTGGTGGCCGTTGTGACCGTTGTCAAGACCAGTTGGGTTTGTGCGATGACCTCGGGAATGTCCCTGGGAGTATGAGAGGGAGTTGAATCTGAAACCGCTATCTTGGTCCTTTGCGAGGCGTGTGATCAATGAGGCCATTGACATTTCGATGTTGAGCTTGACCATGTAGGCCACGGGGTGGAATTGGATGTAGACGACTTGGTTGGGAAGTGACATGAGGCCAATGAGCATAGCCTGAGTGTGCGTTGTTAGCCTCCTGAACATTTTGCATGATCGTAGTAGTGTCTTGACTTACATCCATGGCAATTGAGAGAACCATCAGCTTTGCGTTGAATCCAACTAGAGGCTTGTACTTGACCAAGCCATGCTGATTCAGGAGGCGAGCCTTGACGACGTGGAGGAAATACCAGTTGAGGCCAGCGTCAACAATGAGAATGAGGATTTTGGAGAGACGGTCCCAGTAGTGGTTGATATTGACGTATCTGCGATCGCATATCAGCAGGTGAACTGTACGGCAAGAACCCAGTGCAGAAGATAGTTGAACTTACGTTTGGCTAACAGGAGGATCAAGGTGGGAGGGAATCCAGATGCAGAAGACGGCGATGTTGATCAGGGTGATAATTACAGCGGTTCCCCATTTCAGCATGCGAATGGTCTTTTGACTCTCCGCGATGACGGCAATACGGTTGATGATGATTTGCATCAGCAACTGGATCTCCCACACCCATAAGAACAGGATAAAGAATAAGACCGGCACTCTTTGACACCAATGGTGTTAGCTCAGGCACAAACAGAGATAATACATTTTGACACTCACGTTGGTCCTAATATCCCATCTAAGAATAACCATCCGATGACAGCAATGACGAGATTGGCGACGATTTCACCCCACATCATGTAGATGTATGTGCTTCGAAGGGGGTTACGATTCCGTCTCGTCTGCTTCATGGCCTCCCATACTGTCAAGAAACCAAAGCCGATGGTGAAGCCCGCGGCCAGCGAGGCAATCTGGTAGTCGGTCTTTGATGCCGCCATCGTGAAGTGCGATGAAGGAGGCAAAGGCGGAGAATTCGATTCGTTCGTACTCAGTATCGTATCTGAGGTGTTCGAGGTTCGGTCCTCTCAAGAAAGGCTCCTTGATATACCAGATTGGGTATGTGGGGAAGGAGACGAGGATGAGAGGGGAGCAAGATGTCGTCTAGTTCAAACTCAAAGAAAGCCCTACGAGCCCGTCGAGAAGGGGGAAACGGGCATACTTTTAAGAATCGACGATGAGCGTCCACAGTCCGGAGCAGATTGACCCTCGTCAAGCTCGGCTACCCACTTCTTTTCCGGCCCGTTAGTTAAGAAATTTCCCCTTCTCCAGTGCAGTGGCAATAATAACAGGCTAGCAGTCTGGCAGGCTTTGGTTTCGCGATCTCAAACGGCAGAGGGTGGCTAGGCCGCGACAAGTAATCGAGCCATCCAGCCGGCGCGGTGACTAGACCAGGCGAAGAACCCACATGGTGGTGACAATTGTTAGTGCCACCCTTTAGCCTACGCCACACGCACCACGAACGTGTAGCAGAGGTGCAGAGGTCGCACTCCAAGAGTTACTACTAGT